GTGAGGGGAAAGCCTCAACAGCTGCAATGCTTGCTTTCTAACTATTCGCATGGTTAATATATTGTAATCAAATTCATGTGTAATATGATAACTATAATCTTCTGTAATGTGATAGCCGTTTCGACGTGTAATCCTTATTTCCTGGTTCTAATAAATGCTTTCTAATCTACTGTTCTGCTATGACAGTCGGTTTCTTACCGAGATCTACCTATTTGGTGCTAGTTCGCTGTGAGGAATTACTTTAGGTAGAGTTATGAGCTACTATTTCAGGCATGAGTTCGGTTGAATGTCCGATCCATCCAAACGTTCACTTGGTCGAGGACCATCGAGCCGGTGATGTTGTTTGTCCAGAGTGTGGCCTAGTCGTTGGTGACAGGTAAATACTTCATTCACATTTGCTCTTCCATTTTGTGCTTTGAATTGTGGCCGCAATATTTGATTTTTCAAGGCTGGTTGATGTTGGTACTGAATGGAGGTCGTTCTCAAATGAAAGAAGTGGAGCAGATCCATCTCGTGTGGGTGCTCCTGAAAACCCTCTCCTTAGTGGAGGGGATCTGTCCACAAGCATTGCCGTTGGATTTGGTGCCAGCGACGGTGATACCAGGTATTTTCAAAGCTACTCTTCGAATATAGTCGCAGAATCGTGCCATGTCATGGAAGCAGCTCTGTAGTGCTTTGATAGCATGCTTAACATCCACTGCGCTACTACTGTAATAAGGGGAGGCATTTCGGTACTGTCGGTCTAGAGACCCATTTTCTCGAAGAAGATAGGTCACACAGCCTGAAGCTTCTTCCTCCTCCTCCCTCTCGAAGCTTAATGAGAAATACTCATGCGCCCATCGTAGTGGTTTTGAATGCCAAGATGTGTCATTTTGTAAGAACAGCGCCCGCGCTACGATCCGTTTGACCTATAAGCGTGTTTCTTACGCTCGGCACGTTTCCCTCCTGGACCATGAACGTAGCCATATACTTTGGTTTTTGTCGTGTGATCAGTACCAAAAAATTCTTGTTTAGCCTTGCTAATGCTCAGCGAAAAAGCATGAACAATACTGATCGCCAAATGACGCAGGCAATGAGTGTTATCAGAGAGATGAGTGAAAGAATCCATCTTGCAAAAAGTATCCAGGTAAGACAGGTTTTACAGACAAACTGTACACTCATGTCCGCGGATCCTGGTCATTGCCACGAATAGGAAGAATGGGACTGCAGCTGCAGTAGCGTTCCGCTTTTTTCAGGCAAAAATGCACGGGGCTGAGGTTGGAAGGTGCTGATACCCGGGTGCTGTTTCATGGCTCCACCCGCGCTGCCACACTGCCAGCGTTATGCGAACCGTGGCCGTGCTCTATCATTTCTGATTGTTCTCTATCACTCAGTGCGTGTTTCGCTAGGAGGCCTTGGTATCGACGCAAAAGGTGGATCCTGATGATGATATCGGGACGGATTCTCGAACGGCGCCCGGGGCTCACTACCTTTGTGCTTCGTTTATGCGCGCTGTCAAGCGAAGAAAGTGTTACAACATGCAGTTGCCAATCTGTACTGCTTGCTGCCGGCACGGCCGTGCCCGTAGTTGAGCGTAAAGATCGTCTCTAAGGGTTTCTATGTCAGCGTTTCTAATTGGTGCTCTTTACGCTGTTTTCCTCTTCACATTGCTTCTTGTTTCATCTATCATACCTAAAGTATCATTTTTTGTCAGGATTTGGCCTCGAAAACTTTCAAGGATGTTCTGGACAGCAAGGCTCTCAAAGGGAAAAATAATGAGGCACAGGCTGCTGCTTGCCTCTATATAGCTTGCCGAAAAGAAGGTGTTCCGAGAACATTTAAAGGTATTTTGTATCGTTGAGATGGCAAAGTTCAGAATCAAACTTTATATTATAATAGACTTATTTTCATTAATCAGTTTATTTTAAATTTGTTCTCCCCTTGCTCTGTATTGTTGAATGGAAAAATGTCAAGCAATCATTCAGAGATATGCGCTGTTTCTCGTGTATCAAAGAAGGAAATCGGACGCTGTTTTAAGCTGATTATAAAGAGCCTCGAGACAAACCTTGAACAGATCACTTCTGCGGATTTCATGTCGAGATTTTGTGGAAATCTTTCATTGCCAAATTCTATCCAGGTGAGCACATATTTCCCTTTGGAAACCTTTTTCCAAATGCCACAAAAGCAAAATTATTGAAAATGAGACAGTGTTGAAAAACCGAACAAATGAGGAATATTTAGGGGGGAGGAGAGGTAGTCAGAGAGCTAGCTCAGCTTCCGTTTAGGTTGGATAGTAGGGGGAATATAATTTTTCTTCTCGATTGCATGAACTAGTCATCCTTTCACACCAGCTGCTGATTATGATTGAAATTTGCTTCCACTCCGGCTGGTTACAATTGAAGTTTCTCAGTTCACTTTTACAGGCTTTCATTCCGATTCCAAATGCTGTTTCTCTCATATTTAATCGATTTTGTGGCTTTACTGATATTCATAGTCATCACTGCAGTACGCAGACTCTACTGCTGCGCGCGAATTTCAGACAGCCTAAGGTCGCTAAGGCGCAAGTTATCCTCTTCTCGGTTTTTTTTTGATCTTTGTTCAACGTGACCACTTTCTTTATCGAAGTCCCTAGTTTTTGGTTATCTCTTGACTCCTCAGCGAGTACCTTGGGTAACCGCGGGCGGCCTCAGTAATCTGAAGGGTGGGCTGAGTGGGCATTTGAAAGGACCTCTGTCCAATACTTTCCAATGGATATACATATAATTACCGTACATAGAATTTCACTTTTTCTTCCTTCCTCCTTTCCGGGTCTCATTCCATTTTAGGCCTAGGCGAGAGTCTTCCTGTAAAGAAGCTTTGTCCGACTCCATCAGTGTCTAGCGGATGTAACTCCTTTTTCGAGAAAAAGGTACAGGAGTGAAAGCTCAGCTTTTATGCGGCTTCACGACATCTAGCAAGTAGCAGGCACCGCCGAGGATAGCACTAAGACTGACTGTTGAACAAAAATCACTGCCTTACATAGGAGCGAGTCCGGGACCCATATTATGGAGAAATACACTGGGATGAGCTATGTGGTGGCGCTCAGATCGCGCACGGAGCCTTACTGGCACATTAGTCGATTCATACGATGTTGGGTGTCCATAAAGTTCGTTGGCCATTTGTAAACAGCGTCGCGTTACGCAACGCCTTGTGATTTTGCATAATGATTTCGCAATACTGAAAGTACTCGCGATTGGCTATCTTCTGAGCTAGCTAGCTATAAATTTCCTTTCCTGCTCTTCCCACAATAAAGCAGTGAAGATGACCTTCACGCCTGCACAGCGAAGGGGAAAGCGGGTTGAGGTGTGCTCCGACAACCTCAGACTCAGAGGCCTGACGAAGATTCTGGACTCCCTCATTTGCCAAGATGAGAAGTGGGTCTACTTCTCTAATCCTGCCAACAAACCAGTCTGGGTGGATTTCGATGCGCCCCGCCAAGCCGTGCAAAGAGAAATATGCATGGAAAGAAGCGCCTTCTGTCATTCTGGTTCTCTCGCCACGGCGTCGTCCACTACAGCATCCTACCCAACAATGCCACAGTGACGGCAGAGACCCTCTCTAAAGAATTGCAGGAGGTCAAGGTGAAAGCTGCCGCCTTGTCCCAGAAACTTGCAAATCCGTGGTTGCTCTGGACAACGCGCGCCCCCACAAAGCGAGAGATACTCAGGCCGTCCTGGACAGGCTGGGCATCAAGACGGTTCACGCATCCACCGTATAGCCCGGACATCAGTCCATGCGACTACCACATCTTCCGCTCCATGCAAAATTTCGACGGAAAACAGCTGAAGAACGAGCGCGACCTCGAGGAATTGATCGAAGGATGGTCGAGTGCGGCCGCCGGCTTTTGGGAGGATGGAGTTGCCTCCTACCCGATTGTTGGCGAAAGGTGGTAGGTTGCATGGAGATCAGGGCACAGCATTCGATGGGGATTTTGGTCGAGCCTGTACGACCCCCCCCCTTTTTGGGGGTTCGGTACGACCCCCCCCCCTTTTTTTTACTGTTGACGTTACATACTTCCTGAAATTAGATATAAACAATTAGATATAAAAAATAGATATAAACAGTCCTACCTAAGTTGAGTTGATTTACTTATGTGCAAGCGTTTGTAATCAAAAACAGGATGAGTAGCATAAACACAGCATAAATGCGAGTTAAATGAGACTATGACTAAAAAAAAAGCGGCATAACAGAAAAAAAAGAAATGCGCTAAAAATGCATTAACCCGAGATGTGGAGTACGGTAGCAGAAATGCGTATGTAATTGCAGCCGTGACTGGAGATTATTCGTCAATTTTAGCACTGGAGCGCGAACTTTCAGCAAAGTGGGGTGTCTTTGAAGGACCATAACTTCCTCAAAAAGCGAAGCCTGTGGGGAAGAGGGGACCGTATTCGTGTAGAGGAAGGTTTGCACTTCCTAAAAGTTCTGAAACGTTCATGAAGGTCGCAAAAATTACAGAGAAATCTATTGTTGGGGAGTGATTTAACTGAACATTTTGAATCTAAAATATATTTTATTTTTTTGTAACTCAACATTTCACAAATCTGAGAACGGTTTCGAGTGTTTAAAGATTTTCTCTTTCTAAAACCTCTTGAGCTGTTTCTGAAGTTCTCGGGATTCATGAGATCTCGCTATGGGGATTTCTTGGGGAACACTCCCAGCTGCGCGAAAAACCCGTTTCCTGTGTACCGTTTCAAGTGAGCGTGTTCGAATATAGAAAATGCAAGTATATCTCTGGTGGCAGTTAGAGCAGAATATGGGCTCGCTTAGCACGTACGCTGGACTTTGGGGATGCGCGCGCACTGGAGCTTGGCCGCGCAGAGGTGAAGGGATGGTGCAATTTGTGCGTAATGTCTGTCCACGCGAGCAAATGTGTCTATAGGATTCAGGGAGATCCATGGCAAACCTGTGCACTTGTTTACAGTGTTTTCCCTTGCGATGATGGATGATGGAGCGATCGTCCTTTCCGGTTGCGAGCTGGTCCGCCAGATGTGTGCTCCGCCAATTGCTGTCTCCGATAAAGGAGACCAACTGCTGGAAAACGTCTGCTACGAACGATATGGTAGTCCTGTCGTTTGTTGAAAAAAGAGGTTGGCTCAGCGCCAAGCGTAATCGCGGACACGCCCCATCATCCGCAACGAACCAGAGTATGAGTTGTACTGTTCAGTCATCGGACTTACGAGATAATGTCGACTTATTATAATAATAATTTCAGTTATTTCGGATTAATTGATGGTTGAAAGTTTTCTACTATTTCTTTTACATATCCGAGTTCTCTACAAAGCGAGTTCCGCTACTCTGGACTCAGCACACTGAGACCTTTGCGCTGCTCGATACTGGCTACCGCCCTCGACCCCCCTGTCCGGCGGCCAATACGACCCCCCCCCTATGGGGATTCCTCAACCAATGATGTGCCCTGGATGGAGATTATATCATGGAGTGGTAACTTCAACTGAATTATTACAACCTCTGAAAAAAACGAATGGCCAACGAACTTAATGGACATCCATGATAATCGATAGATACGATGTGAAAAACGAACTTCACATGAATGCAAGACAGAAAAACAGAAGTTCAACACTATTATACAACACTATTTGCAACATATAAAAGATAACTGCATACATTACTCTCTCGTGGGAGGAATAGCTCACACTCTCCATCGCGGCAAATCCAGTTTTTGCACAAGGATTCTCCCAAATGCCCGCTAGAGTAGTTAGTTCTCTGCCTGCAGTCTTCAGTGTGTGCTGAAATCAACAAATTCAGAGTTGTTAGCGCTTTTAAAATAAAGTATTGATTCTGATTAAGATTCCGCGAGGAATTCTCGCGGCGGTTTTTATCTAGATTCTTTTTCAGGCTGCAGCGACTCGTATTGCCAAACGTGCAGTCGAAATGGATCTTGTAGCCGGGTTTGTTTCGTTTGCTGTGCTCGCTGGTTGATTTCGTAGTACACCTACTAATTGATTTAATAAAATTGAATTTAATTGTTTTTAGCCGTTCGCCTATTTCCATTGCGGCTGCCGCTATTTATATGGCCTCACAGGCGTCCAGTGAAAAACGATCAGCAAAAGGTACTGATTTGATAACTTTCACCTTGATCTGTGTTTTTGTGTTATTGGGTAAGGAGGTTAACTATCGATTTTTTTCAGACATTGGTGAGATTGCTGGTGCTGCAGAGGTAACGGTAAAGCAGACATACAAACTTCTGTATCCCCGAGCAGCGGAGCTCTTCCCGGACGACTTCAAATTTGTCACACCAATTGATCAGTTGCCTACATCCTGAATTCTTTTTTTTCAACCACTATACCCTGTTTGTAACAAATTTCTCCCGATGCCCGAGTATGTTTGTAGATTGCATAGCTTTACTCGAAGATGGTCAGTAGCATACTTGCATTATATTGATCCTTGTTGGGAGACGGGCAAGGCAATTGTAATCTGTCACGCCGTTGAGCGCGGCATATCATGCTGCGATGCGCGGCAAATTCCTGATTGTCGTGCTGCATTCGCAGCTTCACGGCTGGAGCAGCAAAACCAAGCGTAGACATTACCCATGACGAGCGATATCGAGTTTTTCCGTCCGCCGAATACATGAATCCGAACGGCGTAATCCCTCCCCACGACCATCATCGCGGCATCTTACGATTGTCTTGTCACACCCCACCCTTGTTGAGCTTTTCGTAATACAAACAAAGTCACTTTGCACCATTAAGAACATGTCAAGTTTGTACATTCGTTTGTCCATGTAGTTCCGTTAGAACTTTTGAATCCCATGTAGTTCACTCAATAGCTCTGTAGGTTAGGTTTTCACGGGTTCACTCATACTTGCAGTAAAGATTTAGTTTTGCATGCTGGATGTTTGGATAAAAATTGATACATGCAAGTGTTGCGAGTAAATTTCTGATCCATGGTCGTGAAAGTTCTCCACAAATACGTGCTTTACTTATCGTCAGCTGTAACGTTGTGGGCGTAACTCTTCAAGATATCGTAGAATTGTGCAGAATAGCTCCTGTAAGGGGAGCTACTCCATAGCAGCGGAGGTCACCTGCGGGGAAAAGAGTCGTTCGGCGCGAGTACGTGCGTGGGGACTTACGAGCGCTTGCCCTCGCTCGCCTACGGTGTTGCCACGCGGGTGCTGTTGTTGCTACTCTCCGCAACCTATAGGCCCTTACTGCCCCTACGCGGTGCGCACTACGGCTATCTACCAGATGTTACCCAACAAACCTACGCCTGCAGCTAACATACGCTAAAAGACGACAAGACCGTAGACGGACCTACAGTGCCGAGCATGACTTTACCTCAGCTATGCAGCCGATAAAGCACTAACTAATTACTACCACTAACTAATCAATAAAGATATCATGGCATTACCACTTGTCATTATCGATCGAGAATACACACATGTAAATTAATGATTTAATGACTACTAATAA